CAAAGCCATGGGCATGTTGTGCTGCATTTCTAAGGGCTCTAAAGAAAAGTTCCTTGAAACATTACTGCTTGTCAATTGTTAATAATTTGCCCTTAGGGGCAGTAAGGTAGCAGTGAATAAAAACTTGGTATTCTAGCCGGGCGTTGGTGGCACACGCCTTTAATCCCAGCATTCGGGAGGCAGAGCCAGGCGGATCTCTGTGAGTTTGAGGCCAGCCTGGGCTACCAAGTGAGCTCCAGGAAAGGCACAAAGCTACACGGAGAAACCCTGTCTCGAAAAACCAAAAAAAAAAAAAAACTTGGTATTCTTACAGAAGACTAAGGTTCAGTTCACAGAAGTATGTGTTATAGAACCAGAGGTAACATCAGTATCAAAATGTAATCATCTCTGTTTTCCCAATACAGGCTATATGAAGGGCTGCACCCTGTGCTGATAATCACAGAACCAGATATGATCAAGAATGTGCTAGTGAAAGAATTTTATTCTGTCTTCACAAATCGACATGTAGGTATTCCTTTTTTAAAATGTGAGGATTATACACACCAAACATGTTATACATAGTAATATATATGTATAAAAGTATGTATACATGTATTCAATAACAATTATTGAAACAACAAGGCATGAATATGAAGAAGAGAAGGAAGGTATATATGGAAGTGTTTGGAAGGGAAAATTGTTACAATTACATTATAATTTCAAATATAAAAAAATAAAATGTAAGTCTTCACTTAAAAAAATATTTTATGATCCCACATAGTCTAGCAGTAAGGATTCCTGGTTTTCGCTCAGGGGGCCTAGGTTCCACTCCCAGTATAAGAGCACCTGTATCTTTCAAAAAAAAATCAGCCAGGCTGCATTGCTGCTCACCTTTGAGCACAGCACACAGGTGGATCTTTGCGAGTTTGAGCCCAGCCTGGTCTACAAACCAAGTTCCAGGACAGCCAGGGTTACACAAAGGAACCCTGTCTTGTAAAGCAAAAACAAAACAAAAAAACATTATTATGAGAGGCTGGAGATGTTGCCAAGTGGTAGATTAACCTGACCCAGTGTTCAATCTCCAGCACCAAAAAAATGAATAAACATTTTATTATGAAATTAGTATGTATTCACAAAATTTTGAAACAATGTACAAGGCATGCTATGTATCTTCATGCTGTTTTATTCAGGTTGGAGGTGTCAACCTTTCCTTAGGACAAATTGTCAGCACTCAGAGATAAACAAAAATCTTCTTTCATTGGTTCACAACCATTGCTGAATAGACCCAAACTTGCTGTCTAAGTGGGTATTCATGGTGGTCATTTCTCAAGGGGGAAGAGCAGATGTGACCCTGGTCAGCAGGGAATGGACAAGCAGGGTCACAAAGCAGAAGTCACTAGTTCATTTTAGCCGCTCTGCTGTCTCAGGGCAGAGACTGGTTGTTACTGTCTCCTTATACTCTTGTCACCCCATAGTCCCTAAGGAAGCTTGGTAATCATAATTAAGGTTAAAGTTGGTGATTTCCTTTCTCCTTCAGTTTTTCCTAGGCAGTTCATTATTTATTTTATGTGGCAGTGTGTTTAGGCTTGATTAGTAAGTGTCAGTGGTTGCATTCAAACTCAGTTAGGTCTGATGACAAAGCTAAGATAATTTATCCACATTTATATACCTCCTTGTATAAACAGCTTAGAATGATACAGACTCTGCATCCCGAGTGCTGGGATTAAAGACATGCACCACCACCACCCAGCTGTATTTTTTGTCTTAGCCATTCTGACAGGCATAAGATGGTATCTCACGGTCATTTTGATTTGCATTTCCCTGATGATTAATGATTTTGAACATTTCCTTAAATGTCTTTTGGCCATTTGAGATTCTTTTGTTGAGAATTCTCAGATTAGCTCTGTAACCCATTTTTAATTGGATTATTTGTATTTTGCTGTCATATATATATATATATATATATATATATATAT